GAACTGTACAAGAAGAAATTTTCAGCACACATGTCACATACATACCATGCGTTTCTGTGCTTTGTGGCTACTGATTGAACCACATCTACCATTGCTATCCAGGCTTTTCATGCCAGATTTCATCGCAGCAAATGTATTAATAGGGGTTGCTTTCTGTGGTCCAAAGTTAGCTTCCTAAAAAAGAGTAAATTTTCCAATGAGATATGAATATACAATAGGCTACTAAGTTCCTAAAAAGACATTAAAGAATAAAGAATATACACGTGCATACCAATACTTGTTGTGTCTCTATGAATGGTCTAGATCCTCCTCGGTTTTGAGCAATATCTTCATTACTTGAGCGAGATGTTTGCCCCCTCTTACGTTTGACCTTGTACTCATCTGAGCACCAATAAGCACAAAGGAGGAGCCACACCTCATCATTCAACCACTCGAGCTTTCCTTGCTTGTATTGCTCATACTCGAGGTCAATATGGCATGCTACTACATCTTTGATTTCTATGTGTTTTATTTCCATGTAGTACTCCTTGACAACATCCACACGGACTTGATACATCATGTTCCTCACCCTTTTTTCAAACAGGCTTCTAGAACACAGTCCGCATCTTGTTGATCTCCTACTACAACTTGGAACAAACGCTGCATGTGTACAAAACCATGAACATAGGTTTCACATTGCATAGATTTTAGAAATTTCAAGTTTTAGATGTTGCTCAGAAATTTCAGATTGAACATAGGTATCTTACCCAAAATTCGGAAACCACTTTTTCTCCCCTTGTCATTTCCGTAGCCTTAGGATTTTTATGAAAATAATCAGCCCAATCCAGAGCTAGGTGCTTGAATTCATCAGCGTTCTCATCCACCTCCACAATCACACCGGGATATTCTCTTCTAAGTATGACCCCAAGCTGAGTAGTGTATTTGTAAGGTGGTGGGTAGTAAATATAACTGAATTGCCTATAAATAAAGTAACAGGTCAGCACAAAAGGCTGCTAGGATATGGAAGTTCGCAGCAACTGTAGTAGAATTCATGCAAGTATTCGGACATGGAAGTTCACAGTGAACATGTAAGAGATAAGACTTTGGTGCAGGTTTACACAAGTAGACAACCATCTAAGCACTAATGGTTGCTAAAATAGTTGAGTGTGATTGGAAGATAGCGCAAAACTTTGCGTGCAACCTTTGTTCGCCCTTCCACATACCGATTAGCACCACAAAAATCACATTTATCTTTGTCCTTGTTATCTTTGTAGAATAGCATGCAATTGTTATAGCAAACATCAATTTTGATATATTGCATACCAAGACCCTCTAATAATTTCCTAGATTGGTAGAAGTCATTAGGTAACTCGGAGTCAGGAGGAAGGAGTTCATGTACTATACCTAGTATATCATCATATTCTGCGACGGACATGTTGTACCGTGACTTCACAACAAACAAGCGAGCTACAGCAGACAAGCGTGAGTGTGTGGTTCTATCATGCACCAACTCATCTGCACTAGCAACCATCCTATAGAAAGCTTTGGCATATGCTGATGGTTCAGCATCCAATATAGGTGGATGGTGCCCAGCAAGCTCAACCAACATTTGATCCATCTGATCAACTTCATCAGTGCCCTCTCTATTTCCCACACCATCATATCCATCATGTGAAATCAGCCCCTCACCATGCTCAGACCAAGTTTCATAGTCTTCCTTAAAACCATGCCTACACAAATGCATCTCTATAGTGTATCTTATATGCCTAAAGTAGTTCCGACATTGTGCACAAGGACACTTAATAGTATCATTTTCAGCTACACCAGGAATTGAAAATGCACTATTCAAGAATTCATTGGTTCCATCAATCCATTCATTTGAGGGAGCTTTGCCACGTTGCCAACCATTATACATCCATGTTCGGCTTGACATATTAACTAGTTCTGTTTCAAATATTAATATATTAGATATCACAACAAAGGAAGCTCAATTATTTTTGGTGCAAGGACAGACATTCCAAACTCAGACAAGTGGGCACACAAATAAAATGTAGAATAACAACATCATCATACAACAAATAAAACTAGTGAAGAAAGAAGTGTACCTTGAGTCTCACAGGTACTCAACAACTCTTCGCTGTCTACCTCCAACAGGAACCTTCAGTCCTTGCTTAGCCCAAAATCTTTACTGCAGTACATCAGGGACATGAGATTAGAATTTCTAGTAAAATTTTTTTCATGCTATTAGTGAGGCCACTATGGCTGAAATGCTGTCTATAGGTACTGAATCGGTACATGTCATGAAAATATCAATATTATATATTCTAGAGGGAAGAGGGAATACAACTGGTGTCGGAAGCAATATGCGCAGGTATCTGCAATGACTTGGGTAGTGGAAGCAACGTGGATGTCTACGTGATAACCAAGGTACATGTTTTCTATTTTTATTTTATAGTTCTAGGGCCAAACCCTGGTCCAGATCCATTGCAAAGGAACCAAAGTAACAAGCGTTTACAAAATTTTAGAGCAGAGCATCCTCATCATGTGAGGGACATAGGTTAATCTCAAATGCCACACATGCAACAAAGAGAGCAAGTTAAACATGTTATTGTGAAAGCATGACTTACCAGCAACTCGTAGAGAGAAGACGAAGCCTCAAATTGGGGCTCGTGCTCAGTTTTGCACGAAGGAAGGGAACAAAAGCGACAAGCAAGGACGGGCCGCTCCCTGGAGGCGATGTGCAGACCGTCGGTGGATCTGGCGCAGGGAGGTCACGTGTAGATGCATCGCTGGCAAATCTGGCACAAGCCTCGACCAGCAGTGGGCCTGGGGAAGCGCATGGGAGGGGCCGTGCTAGAAGGGGCGATGTCCGTTGGTGGGCTGGGGTGGCGGCCGGCAGCGCACAGGAGGGGCCGCGCCGAGAGGGCCAGTAGCGGAGAGGTGAACCTAGGGCGGCACCACGGGAGGGGCCACGCTGAGAGGGCAGGCCGTGAAGAAGTAGATCTAGGGCAGCACGCCGGAGAGACGAGGGGCGTCGCGCCGGGACGTGCGCTGGACGGGAGGGAGACCAGGGGCTACGGCCGCCGGCGGGCTGGTGGCTACGGCCGTCGGTGGGCTAGAGGCAGATCTAGGCGACAGCGGACCTAGGGCAGCGAGCGGCGGCCATGGAGCTGGGGTGCCTAGCGGCGGGCGGCGAGCGGCAGATGTGCAGATGGGGGTGGTCTTGTGCGGCGAGCGGCGGACTTGGAGCCGGGAGCGACGGTACTACGGGAGTGCGAGCAGTCTCTGCGGAGTTCGGCCTCTGGCGGCGCGTTTGGGATAGCGTCGGTTGCGGCCGCGGGAGGATTTAGTTTTAGGGTGTTTTTGTTTTTTTTCACTCTCTTTTCTATTCTATACCGTGCCACTGTGCCTATGTCGTTTTTTTTCTGAGTTAAAAACAACCCACAGAATAATTGCTATTTCTCTGTGGGTGTGCATTGTTTTTCTGTGTGTATTGTCACGCACGGAAAAATAACCCAATTATTATGTCGGTTTTCTATATTTCTGTGGGGATTTTTTGAAACCGACAGAATAATTACAAATTTTCTGTGTGTTCTGAGAAACACGCATAGAAAAAATCAACACGCACAGAAGTATTTGAGTTTCCAGTAGTGTAACTCCTACAAGCCGAAACAGGATATGGCAGACCAGCCGTGCCCTGTCCTTCCCTGCCCCTGCTCCTACTCTTCAATGCCCTGTCCTGCCCCGCCCCTACTCCTACTCTTCAATCCGCCGTTGTCGCACCGATGACAGGGCTTCTGGTGTTTGTGGGCGTCAACAACCTCGGGCCTCCTGATCGATCTCCCCTGTCTCTGTCTACGACTTCGTCTGCTTCCTCCCATACTGGGAACCGAGGGTACTCGACTAACCCCACTCCTTCGCCTCCCTTTCTTTGTTTCTTCACCAACAGCTGCTTGCAGCAACTCCTGTAGTCCTGTGTGGCCATGGGATCGGAATGTGGGTTACCGTGTTTTCCTTTGATTGGGTGCCTTGTAAGGTCCTTAACCAAGAGGGTATGTCTTGATTTCATCATTGCATTGGATTGGTTGTGGTCGGTCAGGGCATTCTGTTTCCTGTTGCCAGATCACCATGTCTGTGTGCAGTGCACCATGCAACTGTTCGTTGCAATGCCTCCATGAAAATGATAGTACCTGTAGCTTTGCACGTTACTGTAAAATTGTACTGCCTCCATAGCTTTCAAGGATCATATATATACCATTTTGTCAACATCTTTGGTCATCTGTGTAATCTTTTTCTTGATTTGTTATATGCATGTTATGATACGAGTTACACAGACTCTGACATTGATATCTTTTCAGCAGCTGTATCAGAATGATACCATTGTCAATTTTTGTCAGTGACTGTCTCAAGTGTGAAAATGTTCCTTGTACAATCTGTGGAAGTGATCACTGCAACAGACATTTCTTTTACATAGACAAACATTCTCCCATCATATCTTGGGATGATTTAAGATCTGATTGGTACTGGCTAATGCCACTTCTCATTTTGGTTGATAAACTGACATCATTGTGTCTTCTGCCATATGGTTACCCGTATCGTTTGTTCAATTTGCATGAAGAAAGTTATTGAACTTTTGGAGTTTTCTTGTTGCATGATGTTCCCTCAAATGTATCGTCTGTTTTTGCACTAGTACAAAACGAAAATATAACAGCTTTCATTAGTAATCTTATGATTATGTACTTGCTGAGTCGCCATATTGTTCTCTCTAGCACTAGTACATTAAGCTTCTGTTAGGTTCAGGACTTCCAGAATGATTAGCTAGCACGCATCATGTACTCGTCCATTTCCTTATCAGTTTCTTAAGTATGTATTGGATTCAAAACCAGCAACCAATAGCACATTGTACACAACCGTACCATCCATCAACTGATCGCAAAAGTAGTTCCATTGCATTAGTGTACAGTTGTGAAAACTTGCTTGTTTGAGCGCTATACACAGTTACACACTACATACTTGCTGCTTCACTCTAGGACTACGTCTCGCCTCTTCTTGTTGTTCATTGGCTCAGCACCAGCGGTCCCTTTCCTCATCATCGCTGCAAACTCTGAATAATCTATCCTTCCATCCTACATGTGCAAAGTAAGTTTTAGTCTCTTGATTTAAGAAACTAAAAAAAACATATATGCAGTCAATACAAGCAAACATTTAATCATTTGATCTAGATTATACCCACCATTCCTCGTAACGACATTGATGATGCTGTGGTTTCTATATATTGTTTATTATGTCAACAAAATTTACATAATATTTGTTCCTTACGTTGTCAGAGTCGGCATCTGAGATGACCTCTTTGATTTTCTCTGCGTCATACAACCCTTGCTCTTTCAAGGCTTGCTCAAGCTCCTCTCTCGTAATGTACCTGTGAAATAAATGAATTATATGTTCTTCTTTGATATATATTTATTTATAGCCCAGAATCTCAGCTGTGTCATTTCAACGCTCAATTACCCACTGTTGTCCTTGTCAAAATACTGGAATGCTGTGTAAAGGTGCTCCTCTCTATCCAATTTATTCATGTGCACTGTCGCTGTGACGAACTCGTCGTAGTCAATTAACCCGTTGCCATCAGCATCAGCCTGGAATCATATAGAAAGTTTCAAAAGGGACCTTTTTCAGATCGATCACCTCCTCATTTTGAATAGAACCACAGATTTTTAAATAGTATATTCTGAAAACTCACTGCTTCCATCAGTGCTGAATTTCACCGTCTGATAGCTTGGTTCCATGCTTTGCCAACCCGTTTTTGAGCTCTTCAAGCGTAATGGTCCCGCTGTTATCTTTGTCGATGTTCTTGAACATCTCCTTGAGCCCGGTGATCTCCTCTTCAGACAGGCAGCCAGCTATGATCTACATTAGGTTTGTAATTAAGGGTATAATTAGATTAAATTAAATTTCCCTTGTAATTAAGCAGTGTTGTTTAGCGCTTTGATAAGCAGTGTTGAGCAGTTTGAGAATTGAGATGAATGTGGACTAGTAGTAGCTATCAGATATATATGTATCCTCAGCGCTGCTTTCTTGAACTGGTTCATGGCCCTGAACTGCTTGAGCCTGTTGAGGACAACATTGTCAAGTGGTGTATCAGGTGCCTCCCCGTCTTCTTTGATCCATGGGTGATCTACAAGCAAGTTTACATCAGAGATGTCAATGCAACATTTCTGATGATGAATTATATGATGGTAACAACATGTTGAGATTTACTACTTACTGAGGACCTGGAACGCCGTTAGTCGCTCCTTGGGGTTGATGTGGAGGATCTTCCTGACGAGATCCTTTTCTCCCGGTGAAATATGCGGCCATGGCTCGCTGGAGAGGTCAAGCTGCCCACGCAGGATGGCCGTGAAGATGCCATTCTCATTCTCTGCCACACCAAGAGCATTCATTCAGAAACCATGAATCCGATGGATTCCGATCAATCGATAAACTAAAGCAGGTACCTGCCCAGAATGGAGGCACGCCGGCGAGGAAGATGTAGAGCATGACGCCGACGCTCCAGATGTCGGCCTCCGGGCAGTACCTCCTCTTGAGCACCTCCGGCGCGATGTAGTACGCGCTGCCGGCGATGTCCCGCAGCACCTCCCCCTCCTTGAAGAAGACGGAGAGGCCGAAGTCGTTGGCCTTGAGCGGCGCGTCCTCGGCTTTGCTGAGCAGCAGGAAGTTCTCGGGCTTGATGTCCCGGTACATCACCCCCATGGCGTGGCAGGTGTGCACGATCTGCACTATGGTGCGGAGCAGTGACGCGGCGCCGCGCTCTGTGTACTGCCCTTTCGCGATGATGCGGTTGAAGAGCTCGCCGCCGGCGCAGAGCTCCATCACCAGGTGCACGTTGTGCTTGTCCTCATAGGCGCCCCTGAGGAACACCACGTTGCGCTGGCCGGAGAGGTGGTGCATGATCTGCACCTCCCGCCGCACGTCCTCCTTCCTCGCCAGCTTCCGCTTCGTGATCGTCTTGCACGCCAGCTTCTCACCGGTGGACCGGTGCGTGCACAGGTGCGTCACGCCGAACTGCCCGCGCCCGAGCTCCTTGCCCATGGAGTAGGTCGCGCGCATGTCCTCCATCGGCCGCCCCAGCACCGCGCCAAGGGGGCCTGCTGGCTTGCTGCTGCTCGTGCTGGCCCTGCCGCCGGATGGCGAGGCCGCCGCTTTATTATTGGTACCAGTGCCGCCGCTAGAAGGGCGGGCCTGGTGCAAGCCGTAGAGTCTTACCGCCTGTGACCGGAAGATCCAGGTTCGTGGTCTCCTCGCATTGCACAGGCGAGGGTAAGACTTGCCACTGATACCCTTTTCCAGACCCCGCACAGTGCGGGAGCTCTCTGCACTGAGTATGTCCTTTTACCAATGCCGCCACCAGGTGCCGCCGATGCCGACAAGGGTCGCTGGTGGCTGCCATTGGACGCGGCGTGGCTCGGTGCCTCCGCCTTTGCGCCTGGCGCAGCGTCGTCGGCCGCCCCGCTGGCGCCCTTGGAGCAGCATTGGCCCATGGCTGCAACCTGCGGGGAACGACGACGTACGCGTGCTGCCTGCTCTGCTCCGACGACGGAGGGCAGGGCCGGTCCTAAGTATTTTTAGACCTGGAACGAAGCTAAAATTTTAGATCTTTTTTATATGAACATGATAATACTACTAGTACTACCCATTGGTAGTATATACACATATATACAAAATGTTACTAATAAACAGTTAACTGAATGCAAAAGCAATATTCATATAAAATAATTTGTAGGTTCTATTTCACTTGAATTAAGTACGTTCTCATGATCACTCACATTGTGTTCATCCATGTCGATGTGAACATTGTCTTCCATATGGTCCTAATCTTCTGGATTAGCATTAGCTGTTTCCTCCACAGCAACTATCGACAATGCATCTAGATCTCTCGAAGTGCTTGTATTACTCTTAAGAAAGAAATTTACGAAAAGCTCTTATCTGTGATTCTACCAAATTATCTATTCGTTATTTTTTCTTTGTTTTGTCGTTGCCAGAAGGATACTTTCATGATGACATGGTACTTAAAATTAAGATAAACAATTAGTAACTACAATTTTACAAAGTAGAGATCATGCGAGAAACAATTAGTAAATAAGTTTCAGATTCCTACCTTGCTGGTTGCTGCCGCCTGGCGCCTGCCTTCGAAACTCTCCTCTACGGCTCTTCTAGAACTGCCGATAAGCAGATTTTTTTTGTTTGAAAAATCTTTGCCGAGGGCTTCCCCGCAGGCCCTCGGCAAAGAAATTTTAATTTTTTTTTAAAAGTCTTTGCCGAGGGCCTCCAACCATGGCCCTTGGCAAAGAAATGTTCCAGAATTTTTCCAATGAATCTTTGCCGAGGGCAATGGGACGGCCCTCGGCAAAGGACCCTTCTTTGCCGAGGGCCTTGGTCATTGCCCTCGGCAAAGAGGCAGAAATTTAAATTTTTTTTGTTTTTTGCATTCCATAAGTTGGAAATGTAATAATTGGTGTCAAAAAGACATTTATTCAGCTCTGATGTTACAGAAATCACTTAGAAAAAAAATATAACCGTCAAGTACAAAGACTTGAAAACCAACATAATACACATTTATTTCCGCCATTCTAGTTAGGGTACAATGATGCTCTAACTGAAATTGCCTAATGGCAAAGAAAGAGAGAATGTAAAACATCTAGTTAACAATTACAGCTAATTTTCCTGATGTGATTTATCACAGTAAAGAGCAAGAAGAGAACTTTGTTATATCCACCCTCAGCAGCAGAGACAAAGCTCATACAGTGTTTACAGTATCAGCAAGGGACCGCAATATACAGCCTAGGCCTGCCTTCTCAGTCAGTTTTTCATGAATTTTGAGGCACTGATCACATGTTGGCCTATCCCCTGTAGATAAACCTCTATAAAGGTACCTGCATCACACTGATATTTAGAGACTAATAATCTTCATATTAGCATAAAAGGAATCATAGAAGGCAACAATTCCAAGACAGAAATAAAGAGATACATGTGAGTAAAATGGTGTACAGCTAACTTAATTTTACCACAGTTCTAAGGTGAGCGGCACAGCAACCTTCAATAATGTGAAATCAAGGATGACGTGAAACGTGATAAAGTGGACAAGCATAGGAATATTGATCAGCATACATACATGTTCATTCGATCATGTCGTGAGCAATATTAAACAAGAAATGCACACATCTAAGTGACAGCCCATAGTATCCAAAGCTCGTTCAGGTATTGAGTCATACAACTCATTGTCATTTTGTCAATACTGTCGTTTATAGAACAGAGCTTGTTCAGGTATTGAGTAATACAACTCATTGTCATTTGTCAATAGTACACTGTCGGTTATAGAACCGAGCTTGTTCAGGTATTGAATCATACAACTCATTGTCATTTTGTCAATAGTACACTGTCGTTTATAGAACAGATTTCATAAAACAGTGTGTCATCCAGTCCAAAGCATTAACTTGATCAGCAATTCCTATTCTAAATTAATTTTAGGTCAACGGAATTACAATATTTTTTTAAGTAAATTGAACTACTAATCATATGGTCGATCCAAACAAACATAGACTGACTGCATGCATTCTAGAATGCACTCATTTTTTACTGGAAGTTGTACAGTCCCATAAAATAATTGAAATGTTATATCCTCTTGACCACACAAAGTAATGGTATAATCAAAGGTTCCATTATGTGTTCTCTCTAATCCAATTTCCCAATAATTAACACACAATTAAGCAACATCTAGACTGCAAGGGCAAAACAAAATTTCCCAAAATCCCAACCAGCTACCGCAGCAGAATGACAAATCATAACAAGCATGGCAGGATGAAAATCACCAATGTTAGGTACAGCATAGCTGTTCTCAATCATCAACTGTCATCCCACCGCACAAAACTGATGTCATAAAAACTAAAGTTTTGTAGCAATACCATTACACAATCACCGTGGATCAATGCAACAAAATTTATAATGCAGTGATTGATATCTAGTTCTGGAAACCACTGACCTTCTCTGACCAGTAAATTTGGATCTGGGAAGCAAGTGATGGAAAGGGAGGAGCAGGGGAGAGGTGGTATCCCTTACTTCATGAGGATGTCGTAGTACTCGGGATCCAGGGAGTTGAACATGCCGTCGACGTCCACGATCGCCATCATCGCATGTGGTGCACCACGATCCAGTTCACCGATCACAAGAACCGACAAGAATGAACAATCCAAGAAACCCAGATCGAACCCACGGAAGAAACGAGACGAGCCATATCAAGACCGAACCTTGCATCGCTCGTCGCGGGTCTTGAGCGGCGACCCCTCGAGCGCCGTCTTCAGGGCCTCCACCGGCTTCGACCTGCCCCCACGCCGCGGAGAAATGAGCAGGCGAATCAAAAGCAGGGGAGGGGTCGAGAGGAGAGGGAAAGGGGCGCGATCGCTTGAGGAGGGTCTCGATCTTTCGGGACTTATGCTCGATGCGGGTGATGATGGCCTCCGTGTTCTCGTCCCGCGTTAGAAGTACGCCACGACGAAGCCATCCCGCCGGCGCGCGGCGACACGGAGGGCGGGGTTGGGCTGCCGGGCTGCTACGGAAAGGAGGCGTCCGCCCCACGCCGTCAGAACGATCGGATTCGTGAATGTGGTCGCCGGTGAAAGAATGGATCTGGGGTAGTGGGCGGGCTATCCGGTGGACGGGTCGGTGTCTCTACCGCGTGGGGCGGAAGAAGGGCGAGGGGGGGCCGGGAGAATGACGAGCTCCCTGCTCGACCGAGACGGGAGGAGGGAGGGGCGCGCCGGGCGGCTCTGGGGCGCGGTGGCGTCGGCTGGCGGGCTGAGGGGTAGTGCGCGGAGTCGAGGTCGGCGCGTGTTGTCTTCGGGCGGCGGGCAGGTGTTGGTGTGGGCAGGGAGGTGGTGGGGGCGTATGAAATGTGGGCGGGATTTTGGGCCCAGCCTCACCGGGCCGATTTAGGGTTGGGCCCTTTGCCGAGGGCCCAGATCCGTGGCCCTCGGCAAAGATTTTTTTTTTTTTAATATTCTTTGCCGAGGGCCATTGGCCGATGGCCCTCGGCAAAGACCCCCTTTGCCGAGGGCCAGGCTAGGCCCTCGGCAAAGTTTTTTTTTTTGGTTTTTTGAACCCAGTTTTTTTGTGGTGCTATAATACATTATTTAAAACTCAATTTTAAAATTTGGGCCAAATTTGATTTTTTTTATATATTTCCCTAATTTATTTCTTTTCGTTCATTTTTTTTGAATATTTCAAATTTGAACTGCAGGTGGATGGAATAATGCAATTTAGTGATTCGAAAAATGTTATTCATGGTATTTGATGTATGTTGAGTCCCTATCCATGAACTCGCATCAAATTTCGGGCATCTTCTTCACGTAACATGACGAGGAACTTGTCGGAAAAGTGTTTTTAAATTATATAAAATCCATACGAAGTCCGAAAATCATGAAATTTATCGAGGTGTCATGTTATCGCATGTGTAGGCTATGGTAAAAAATTGAGAAGGTTTTGAGCAAGTTGTGATGTCGTATGCCTAAAACGCAGACATCTCCACATGTTATCACATGTGGAGATGTCTGGGTTTCACGCATCTGACGTTGCAACTCACTCGAAACCTTCTCAATTTTTTTACCACAGCCTACACATGTGATAACATGACATCTCGACAAGTTTCGTGATCTTCGGACTTCGTATGGATTTTATATAATTTTAAAACACTTTTCCGGCAAGTCGGTCGTCATGTTACGCGAAGAAGATGCGCGAAATTTGATGCGAGTTCGTGGATAGGGACTCAACATGCACCAATTAACATGAATAATATTTTTTGAAACACTACATTGTAATATTCCATGCACCTGCAGTTCAAATTTGACATATTCGAAAAAAATCAAAGAATCGAAATAAATTAAGGAAATATACAAAAAAAAGTCAAAATTGGCCCAAATTTTAAAATTGTGTTCAAAACAATGTATCGTAGCACCACAAAAAAACTAGGCTAAAAAACAAAAAAAAATCTTTGCCGAGGGCCTATCCTGGCCCTCGGCAAAGGGCTTCTTTGCCGAGGGCCTCGCCTCGGGCCCTTGGCAAAGACG